ATATAATTAAAACAGTTTATAGTCAGATCTAAGACTTCAAGTTATAATTGAGTCAAATATTGAGGAAAGAGAACATAATTTAAAAAGTAAACATAAGTATATATGAATGTCTAGAGACATAAAATAATGCAATGTGTATCTAATGGAAAGACCTGTGAATAGAATTAGTGCTTTTGAATTCACAAATGTATATTCCTAGGTTGGTTTATAGTATTGGTGCTAAATATTTTAAGAAATGCAATAATTACTTATTAAACTTCTAGTAACATCTCCTGACTGTTTATTGACTGAATTAGTGATGACACTCTAATATTAAGGTGAATCATACCATGTGCATTAAATCATAAAAAATTATAAAACACATTACTCATGAATTTCACTTTAATTCAAACATTTATTTGGCACCTACTATTTACGATTCACTGAGCTTGAGTAGATTCAAATTTTGTGAGACCTGAAGCCTATATAATTTGAGGGCTTTTCTATAAAAAAAGCAAAAAAATTGCAAATTAAAATTTAGGTCTTGAAAGAGGCCCATGCAAGTGAGGGACCCTGGAGCTTAATCTTCAATAACTTCACAGTATATATGTCTTTGACTAATACCTGCTATGGGAAATCAAAGATAACTAAGGCATAATCCCTGCCTTGCTCAAGCTTAAAGTGAAATCTGTGCTAACCTTCAAGAGTATTCCTATAAAAAATGAGAAAAATGTATAAAAAGGCTTTGATCTAGTGAAATAGTTTTGAATTCCTTCTCATTTAAAAATCATCTTTATTTCAGATCTCCATAAAGGACAAGGTTGTATCAAAGTCTTGGACAAATAAGGGTATTTCTTATACAGGAGAATTATTTTTTATCTCTTGCATATGTGTGTGCTTATCTATAGGGCTTCCCTGATAGCTCAGTTGGTAAAGAATCTGCCTGCAATGCAGGAGACCCTGGTTCGATTCCTAGGTTGGAAGGATCCACTGGAGAAGAGATCGGCTCCCCACACCAGTATTCTTGGGCTTCCCTTGTGGCTATGCCATTCAATGGTGGTGTGTTAACAGTTACCATTATTATAATAAGTTGAACAGATGAGTCATGCCCACTATCAAAGTTTTGCAACCCAAGTAACTGTCAACAGATGGGAGTGATGATCTGTTATGCAATAGGGAACAAATATTAAGGTTTCTTTCCATGTGACCTTTAAAAAATTAGAAAAATCTTGTCATAATGTCATTCTGCGTTGAAAATAATTATATGAACATTAAATTTTGCTCTCAATGAAAGGTGAAATTGCATCAGAGATACAAACAATAGAAGATTTAAGAATAAAAACCTGAGCATGATGGCATTGACCCATCTACTAATTTATCCATCCATCCATCCATCCATTCAGTTGAGTGTCTTCCATGTTTTTAAGATATACTAGGCTTGGCTGTGGTAAGTATACTACTAAGTATAAGTATACTACTAGGCTGTGGTAAGCACCACAGCATGGGCATATTCTTGTTCTCATGGAACCTACAGTCTTGTGGAGAAAACACAATCAACAATAGTCCCTTAATGGTTTTCTAGAATTCTAATCTGTTTCAAGCAGAAAGCTACAAACATGTACCAGAGTTTATTTTTCTATTTTTCTATTATTGTTCAGAAAAAAAAAGTTAGAATAGCATGGTTTTTTTTTTTTCTTCCACATTTGGCTATTTAATTTTCAACTTAAATTGTCAATCTATTCAACAATTAACTTTTGTGCTCCAAGAACTTCTAATATCTTCTCCCTTAGTTTACATAGTTATATTTTCTTTTCAATTACAGTAAAGAATAGTTCCCTTTAGTATATCATGAGAAGCTGTAGGGCCTCCCGGTGGCCCTAGTGGTAAAGAACCCACCTGTCAATGCAAGAGACATAAGAGATGTGAGTTCAGTCCCTGGGTTAGGAAGATCACCTAGAGAAGGGCACGGAAACCCACTCCAGTATTCTTGCCTGAAGAATCCCATGGAAAGAAGAGCCTGGTGGGCTATACTCCGTAGGATAGCAAAGAGTTGGACATGACTAAGGTGACTTAGCACACACACAGATACACGAGAAACTCTGCTTAAAATGCATCACATGAATATCTGAAAAGAACATTTTATCTTAAACATTGGCTCAATTTGCTTCATCATATATGGTACTATCTACCTTTCTTCATTTCTTCTCTAGATGAACTTCTTATCTAACTTATTTTCTTTCATCTCTTCCAAATATCCAGATCATGTGTCTAGTCAACTTCTTTAGAAAATTTTTCTTAAAGGGATTCAGTTTCTCCCTTTTTCTGACATGTTTAAATTCACTGGGACACAGCATATTTAGCAGAAAATTTAAATCTCTTTTACAGAGAAATTTCCCCAAAGAACTAATGTTAATGTTTGCATTTGTTGATTTTTTCTGGCTAATTTTAACAGTATTCCGGATTCTTTAAATCATTTAACATTAAGTGTAAATAGCTTGATGAAAATGTATAAGCATTTTTCTTGTTTATAAAACTTTCTGTGAAAGGAAGATATTGGCAATTGACTCAAATTCATAATATAACTTACACCTGTATTACACAGGAATACATTTGGGGTCATATGAGTAATAAATTTGTGAAAATAATGGTTATGGAAAAAGTTTTAGAAAATACTTTTTATAACATTTAGAATATTTAAAGGACTGTAGTCTCCCATACTTCTTAGACAAAAATACCAGATCTGAAATATTGCCTGTAGCTGTACATGTGAGTTTTATTTTGAATTGATTAAGTCAGTATACTTTGTTTTTTTTTTTTTTCCTGGTTGAATGCTCTTTATTTTATTTTATTTATTTATTTTTTTTCATTTATTTTTATTAGTTGGAGGCTAATTACTTTACATCATTGCAGTGGGTTTTGTCATACATTGAAATGAATTAGCCATGGATTTACATGTATTTCCTATCCCGGTCCCCCCTCCCACCTCCCTCTCCACCCGATCCCTCTGGGTCTTCCCAGTGCACCAGGCCCGAGCACTTGTCTCATGCACCCAACCTGGGCTGGTGATCTGTTTCACCCTAGATAATATACGTGTTTCGATGCTGTTCTCTTGAAACATCCCACCCTCGCCTTCTCCCAGAGTCCACAAGTCTGTTCTGTACATCGGAGTCTCTTTTTCTGTTTTGCATATAGGGTTATCATTACCATCTTTCTAAATTCCATATATATGTGTTAGTATACTGTAATGGTCTTTATCTTTCTGGCTTACTTCGCTCTGTATAATGGGCTCCAGTTTCATCCATCTCATTAGAACTGATTCAAATGAATTCTTTTTAATGGCTGAGTAATATTCCATGGTGTCTGCTGATGGGCATCTAGGTTGCTTCCATGTCCTGGCTATTATAAACAGTGCTGCGATGAACATTGGGGTGCACGTGTCTCTTTCAGATCTGGTTTCCTCGGTGTGTATGCCCAGAAGTGGGATTGCTGGGTCATATGGCAGTTCTATTTCCAGCTTTTTAAGAAATCTCCACACTGTTTTCCATACGAATACAGTAAAGATGCAGGATATAAAATTAACACACAGAAATCTCTTGCATTCCTATACACTAACAATGAGAAAACAGAAAGAGAAATTAAGGAAACAATACCATTCACCATTGCAACAAAAAGAATAAAATACTTAGGAGTATATCTACCTAAAGAAACAAAAGACCTATACATAGAAAACTATAAAACACTGATGAAAGAAATCAAAGAGGACACAAACAGATGGAGAAATATACCGTGTTCATGGATTGGAAGAATCAATATTGTCAAAATGGCTATACTACCCAAAGCAATCTACAGATTCAATGCAATCCCTATCAAACTACCAACGGTATTTTTCACAGAACTAGAACGAATAATTTCACAATTTGTATGGAAATACAAAAAACCTCGAATAGCCAAAGTAATCCTGAGAAAGAAGAATGGAACTGGAGGAATCAATCTGCCTGACTTCAGACTATACTACAAAGCCACAGTCATCAAGACAGTATGGTACTGGCACAAAGACAGAAATATAGATCAATGGAACAGAATAGAAAGCCCAGAGATAAATCCACAAACCTATGGTCACCTTATCTTCGACAAAGGAGGCAAGGATATACAATGGAAAAAAGACAACCTCTTTAACAAGTGGTGCTGGGAAAACTGGTCAACCACCTGTAAAAGAATGAAACTAGAACACTTTCTAACACCATACACAAAAATAAACTCAAAATGGATTAAAGATCTAAATGTAAGACCAGAAACTATAAAACTCTTAGAGGAGAACATAGGCAAAACACTCTCCGACATAAATCACAGCAGGATCCTCTATGACCCACATCCCAGAATTTTAGAAATAAAAGCAAAAATAAACAAATGGGACCTAATGAAACTTAAAAGCTTTTGCACAAGGAAGGAAACTATAAGCAAGGTGAAAAGACAGCCCTCAGATTGGGAGAAAATAATAGCAAACGAAGCAACAGACAAAGGATTAATCTTAAAAATATACAAGCAACTCCTCCAGCTCAACTCCAGAAAAATAAATGACCCAATCAAAAAATGGGCCAAAGACCTAAACAGACATTTCTCCAAGGAAGACATACAGATGGCTAACAAACACATGAAAAGATGCTCAACATCACTCATTATCAGAGAAATGCAAATCAAAACCACAATGAGGTACCATTACACACCAGTCAGGATGGCTGCTATCCAAAAGTCTACAAGCAATAAATGCTGGAGAGGGTGTGAAGAAAAGGGAACCCTCTTACACTGTTGGTGGGAATGCAAATTAGTACAGCCACTAAAGTCAGTATACTTTGAATATATTATTAACTTAGATATTTCATTAGCCTTCCATTTTTATGGTTCATTAAAAACAGTTTTTTGAATCCCTAGAATAATAATTAAATCATAATTTTTCTTAATTTTCAAATTATTGTTATGTGGTTACAAATTAGTCATTGCTTGTTTTCTTTCATTTTTTGCAGTGAAAGAAGCCTTGAGCCCTATAAAATTTAACAGATGGGATCTCCCAGAAGTAGATCCAGAAACTATGCAAACCAGTGAACCATGGGTGTTTGCAGGTGGTGATGTTGTTGGTATAGCCAACACTACAGTGGAATCCGTGAATGATGGAAAGCAAGCCTCTTGGTACATTCACAGATACATACAGGTAGGCGTTTACCATCAAATTCAGTTAATTTTTTTCCAGTGGATTAGTGCTTCATTTATCTTTGCTACTTATTCATATGAACATTTCTGTAAGGTGTATAGTAACTATATATATATATATATATATATATATGAAATATGTCACATATATATTTTCTTGGATAAAAGTTTTTAAATGTGGACTAGATAGCAGACCTGTTTAGGTGATTTTTGAAAATTCATTGTGCATTTCTACCAATGAAATACTATGAAGTTATTTATCCTCTGTGTTTAAAAGATTTATCAATGTTTTAAGACATAGATAATATATTTATCAAATCTGGATGATATACAGTATGATATAGAATCTATATTCCTAAAGATTTATCAATCCAGAAAATTATGTTGTCTGTCCATTTGAACAGGTGAACTCCTATTCACTTCCTAAATTATATGCACCTAATTAAAAAGAAAACAAGTATTTTATCAATATGCATTCTAGTGTTTTTCACTATTGAGTTTTGTGATACATAAGCAGAATATAAAAATGATAAAATGTAAAATAAACTACTCTGCTACAGTAACTTTGTGGTCTAGGGGATAAAAAGCCATAGCTATTAGGTTTCAGTTGTCTTATTTTTTGATGAAATGCTCTCTTCTCTTGCTCTATGTTTTAACTAAATGTAGACACAGTGACCTAATTTACATAAAATGTTTCTGTAAAAGTTTGTTTTTGCAAGTAAAATTCTTATTTTTCTTTCCTATTCAGGAATGACTCTAAATTCAAAATATAATTCCTGCCTGCCTCCTCTTGGTTTCTTTGGTTTCTTACATGCTAACAGGATTTACTTTGTCTTTAATGTTTCCTTGAATATTTTTCTTCCTCTTTGTCCTAAGTCTGTCTGTCCAGTCTGTTCTGATTTTTCTCCTACTCTTTCTGTAATTTATCCATGACTACTTACTTCCTAGGTAGGGCTTGGACTTGGTACTGATTACATTATATTTTTATGTTCAGTTAACCTACTTACTCACATCTCCCTTGTGGCTCAGCTGGTAAAAGAATCTGCCTGCCATGCAGGAGACCTGGGTTTGATTCCTGGATTGGAAAGATCCCCTGGAGAAGGGAATGGCTACCCACTGCAGTATTCTGGCCTGGAGAACTCCATGGACTGTATAGTCCACGGGGTCGCAAAGAGTTGGACACGACTGAGTGACTCACTTTCATTTTCACTCTCACCTCACTTTGGCATCCCTGAGTAATGGAGCTTGAGATCCCAGGATGTGGCCTAGAGTGTGTTGTCCCAGAAATATAAAGGTCTAGTTAATGTTGTAAACCCTACTGGCTATGCACTGAGACAAAAGTGTGATTTAGGAAGTAGTGTTTTTGCATACATGCATGCTAAGTCACTTCAGTCGTGTCTGACTCTTTGAAATCTTACGGACTGTAGCCTGCCAAGCTCCTCTGTCCATGTGATTCTCTAGGCAAGAATGCTGGAGTGAATTGTCATGCCCTCCTCCAGGCCATCTTCCCAATCCAGGGATAGAACCTGCGTCTCTTATGTCTACTGCATTGCTGGCAGATTCTTTACCATTGAGCCACTGGGGAAGCTGTGCTGTGTTTTGGGGAGATGATAAATCTAAATTAAGAATTCTTCCAAATCAGCCATAAATCATGAGTTTAGGCTAGGAAGAAAGGGGGAAAAGGAATGGAGTTTTAACATACGGAAGTATGGGAACACAAAGGCGACGCATCAGTGGTGGTTTCAACTGCAGGCTCTGTAGCATCTGTATTTTGGTGTGTCTCCATGACCTTGGAAACACATAGAAGGAACAGTTCGTGACAACTACTGAGCATGGACTCCTGGTTTGGCTCTTTTTTGCTTTTTCTATCCCCAAACCTATCACCCTTTTTGTATTTCCTCATTCTTCTCTTATATTCACAGTATTCTCCCAGGGCACCCACGTGCTTAACTTCCTACTGTGTATCTCCAGTAGGAAATTCTGTCCATGGTCTCACTGGCTGTTGAATATCTTCACTTGTCTAAAATACATTGCAAATTCGCTACTCCACTTGTGTATATATATTTACCTACACTTCAAACTCACTGCTTTTAAACCAAACACAATCTCCTAAACTTGTTTTACTTTCCGTATTTAAAATTTCTGAATCCTAGAGTCAAATCCTCTACATCAGTGGTCCTCAGACTCTGGATTCAATTCAGTTCAATCACTCGGTAATATCTCTTTGCAACCCAATGGACTACAGCATGCCTACTTTCCCTGTCCATCACCAAGTCCCAGAACGTGCTCAAACTCACATCCATTGAGTCAGTAATGCCATCCAACCATCTCATCCCCTGTCGTCCCCTTCTCTCCTGCCTTCAGTCTTTCCCAGCATCAGGGTCTTTCCCAATGAGTCAGTTCTTCTCATCAGGTGGACAAAGTATTGGAGTTCCAGCTTCAGCGTCAGTCCATAATCAGGACTTATTTCCTTTAGGCTGGACTGGTTGGATCTCCTAGCTGCCCATGGAACTCTCAAGAGTCTTCTCCAACACCGAAGTTCAAAAGCAACAATTCTTAGATGCTCAGCTTTCTTAATGGTTCAACTCTCACATCAATATATGATTACTGGAAAAAACATAGCTTTGACCATACAGACCTTTGTCAGTAAAATAGTGTCTCTACTTTTTAACATGCTATCTAGGTTTGCCATAGCTTTTCTTCCAAGGAGCATGCATCTTTTAATTTCATGGCTGCAGTCACCATCTATAGTGATTTTGGAGCCCAAGAAAATAAAGTCTGTCACTGTTTCCCCATAAAACATGGGGAAAACATTTGCCATGAAATGGCAGATGAAGTGATGGGACTGGATACCATGATCTTAGTTTTTTGAATGTTGAGTCTTAAACCAGCTTTTTCACTCTCCTCTTTCACTTTTATCTAGAGACTCTTTAGTTCCTCTGTGCTTTCTGCCATTTTCTTTTGCTTTTTGGCAGAAAGCAAAGAGACTCTGGATTCCTCAAGCTAATAAAACTTTCAAAGTCAATTTGGAAACCGATATATGGTCAATGGCTTCTTATTTTGCTGAGTAACAGTATTAAAATAGACATTCAAGCACATGAAATTATAATATTTACTTTCATTTATAACAGGCTGCTTCATGAGGAAAGTAGAAACCAGCAAAATCTCAGAATAGATTTATTTCTTAAGAAAACACAGTTGAAAGAATTACACTACTGTGCTTATACATATATTTTTCTCATAAAACAGCACAATTGTGTACACTCTTATTTATGAGCAACTTATTTAAATTTTCTTTTCTTCCCTCTATAATATATATACCTGGTCAATTCGATCCTATAAAGACTTTCATACACTTATTTTAATTTCCTTATTTTTTGTGTGAAATACAATTTTTTGTTGACCAGACATGTCACTGACCAGTCTGTTAGCTCCCTGAAGAAATGAAAGTGGACTCAGGAGTAAAGGCTTTTGTGCTAGGCCAATAAAAAACCTAGTGAAGATGTGAATTCAGTTTGCAGAAGTGAAAATGATGGGAAGGCAGCAATGCTAAAGAGATTTGAAAAGGTAAAATTGAACACAGGCAAGTGGAGAATGGTTTGTGTTATTGTTTTCTATATATTTAAATCCATTTATAGCTTTTAAGATAGAGACAGAAAATATTTACTATACTTTATGGAGGTGGTGGTTTTGTGGTGCTTCACAATTATCATTCAAAGGGATTCTTAAGAGTTATTGTTAATTCATTGTTATCTTTCTACTTTCCTAAATCTGATAAATGTGAACTGATAGAAACGAACAGTCATTTTACTTAGTTTCCACTTACTCATGAAAGATATAGACTCTTAAGTATGATGAAAAAAAGTGCATGTGATTTAAATATATATACATATATGTTTAATTTCTATGATTGATAGTTTTTAATATATAAAAGTTAAAAATTAGTGACCAGTAAGCGTTTTGGATTTGGCTGCAGGATTCAGATCAGTCAAACAAAGTATTGAATGGCACTTTAATTCAGAGTTAAATGCAAGGTAGGTAAAATCTCTGTCAGGTTAACACTTCCACCTTTCTGCGAGGGTGCTGGATACAAAGTACTAAGCAATTATGAGACTAAAAAGGAATATACAGACAAAGTAGAATTTTTCTTTCTATACTGTCAGTATCTTAGTTCTGGCCTCTGTTACCTCTTAAAATTGTCTCCAATTTCCTCCTGTCAAATTCAAAGCCCCCTAGACTGAAGCCAGAGTTTTCCTTCTAGAATACAGGTTCTTCAGTTAAAACTCTTCAGAGGCAGGATCCTCTTTAGACTCAAGTGGAGTATACTCCTCTTTGTGTGTTCAGTCACTCAGTAGTGTCAGATTCTTTGCAGACCCCATGGACTGTAGCCCGCCAGGTTCCTTTGTCCATGGGATTTCCCAGGCAAGAATACTGGAGTGGGTTGCCATCCCCTCCTCCAGGGGATCTTCCCAATCCAGGGGTCAGACTCATGTCTTCTGTGTCTCTTGAATTGGCCAGTGGCTTCTTTACCACTAAGCCACCTGGGAAGCCCATATTCCTCTTTATACTCCTTAGCTCATGAAACCAATTTGAATTTCCCCTAACACATCAAGGTTTCTCCTACATCCAGTCCTTTCCCAACTCCAGACGTTTCACAAGTCTGCATCCCTCTTGCCCTTCAGGTTTTGCTTCCTCCTCCTCTTGCAGGAACACATTCCTCCTGATGTGTTCTTTAGCATCTTGTGTTTCCCTGATTGGAGTCTTCTTACTGGTCTGATGCTGCCAGTGATGTGCTCTTTACTAATATATCCTCAAAATAAAAAATGTATTCATTCATTAAATAGAATAAATATGTAGTGATAACTGATTTTAAAGGAATTTAAAGAAGAGTTAAGAGAACTAAAAATTTGTTTTATAATTTATTAGCACTGTAAATAGTGTTTTCTTATGAATGTAAGAATTGTAGTATTCATTTAGAAAGCTTTCTATAATGCCTGAAGT